AGGAGGGGTAAAGAAGGGAGAGAGGAAAGCAGGAGAAAAGATAGGCATGTTTAAGAAAGTTTGTCTTAAGTTTTGTTTTCTTGTCACCTCCATCTTTTCTATCAGACCCCTCAGCAACATGAAATCAGGAAACCTCTCAGATACTATAGAATTCCTCCTTCTGGGACTGTCAGAGGATCCAGAACTGCAGCCCCTCCTATTCTGCCTATTCCTGTCTGTGTACCTGGTCTCTGTGCTCGGGAACCTGCTCCTCATCCTGGCTGTTATGTATGACTCCCACTTCCACACCCCCATGTACTTCTTCCTCTCTAATCTATCTTTTGTTGACATCTGTTTCACCACCACAATGATCCCAAAGATGCTTGTGAACATCCAGACACAGAGCAAATCCATCAGTTACACAGGCTGCCTCACACAAATCTGCTTTGTCCTGACTTTTGCTGTATTAGAAAATGGAATTCTGGTCATGATGGCCTTTGATCGATTTGTGGCCATCTGTCACCCACTGAGGTACAATATCATCATGAACCCCAAACTCTGTAGGCTGCTGGTTCTGCTGTCCTTCCTTATTAGTGTTCTGGATGCCCTTCTCCACACTTTGATGGCACTACAACTTTCCTTCTGCACAGACCTGGAAATTCCCCACTTTTTCTGTGAATTAGCTCATATTCTCAAGCTTACCTGTTCTGATATCCTCATCAATAACATCCTCATGTATTTAGTGACCAGCCTATTTGGTGTTATTCCTCCCTCTGGGATAATTATCTCTTACACTCGAATTACCTCATCTGTCCTGAAAATCCCATCAGCTGGTGGAAAATATAAGGCACTTTCCATCTGTGGGTCACACTTAATAGTTGTTTCCCTGTTCTATGGGACAGGTTTTGGGGTGTACCTTAGTTCTGCAGCTACACACTCTTCCAGGAAGAGTGCAATAGTATCAGTCATGTACACTGTGGTCACCCCCATGATGAACCCCTTTATCTATGGTCTGAGGAACAAGGACATGATGGGGGCTTTGAGGAAACTTATCTCTAGAATATCATCTTTCCATTAATGTGTCAACTGCTTTGGACTTACACTGCTGGAATTTGACAGAAATAATGGTGTGATCCAGACAGCCTGACCAACTTTGAATATATGAAACCAGACATCAAATGGTTAAGGGTAAGAATTTTGAAATCAGACCAGCTGGGTTTGAATCCTACCTCTACCAAAACATAGCCATGTGGCCTTTGACACTTTATTTCAACTCTCTAAACTCAGTTTCCTTGCCTATAAAATTGGCATGATTATATTAGTTTATATTTTGGGAAGATTTGAGATACTTCAACTCAGTTAGGATGCATGCCTTCAGCTGTACTAAGAAAATTCTCAACTCCAATAGGGTCAAGTGATAAAACAATGATCTTTCCTAACAAAAACTTAAGGGATTGGGTAGGTCCAGGCACAGAACCACAGGGATGCATTTCACTCTGCCATGTGGTGATATTTGCCTATTAGGTCTATTCTCCTGGTGGCCACTAATGCCTGCTTTCAGACCCAGAAACAAAAACTGACAGCCTCTCCTTGGGTTTCCTTCCAACACAAGCATAATATTTCCAAGGAGACGTCCAGAAAGCATTATTGTTATCATCAGCCCGAATTGAGATATGTGTCCTGTATTAGTTTCCTATTGTCCTTGTAACGTGTTACAAACTTAGCCTCTTAAAACAACATGAATGCATTCTGTTGCAGTCTGAAGGTCAGAAGTCTGAAATCAGCTATATGGCAAAGGGTTAGTTTCCTTCTGAAAGCTGGTTGGAGAAAAAGTTACCATTTAACAGGTACAGAGTTTCTGTTTGGGATGATAAAAAACGTTCAGGAAATGGATAGTGGTGATGGTCATACAACACTGTGAGTGTTCTTAATGCCATGGAATTGTACACTTAAAATAGCTGAAGACATACAAATCACTAACAGACACGTGAAAAAATGTTCATCATCATTAGCCAGCAGGGAAATTCAAATCAAAACCACATTGAGATACCACTTTACACCAGTTAGAATGGCAAAAATTGACAAGGCAAGAAACGACAAATGTTGGCGAGGTTGTGGAGAAAGGGAACCCTCTTACGCTGTTGGTGGGAATGCAAGTTGGTACAGCCACTTTGGAAAACAGTGTGGAGCTGCCTCAAAAAATTAAAAATTAAAAATAGAGCTACCCTATGACCCAGCAATTGCACTCCTGGGTATTTACAGACACAGATGTAGTGAAAAGAAGGGCCACATGCACCCCAATGTTCATAGCAGCATTGTCCACAATAGCCAAACTGGAAAGAGCCGAGATGCCCTTCAACAGATGAATGGATAAAGAAGATGTGGTTCATATATACAATGGAATATTACTCAGCCATCAGAAAGGATGAATACCCAACTTTTACATCAACATGGATGGGCCTGGAGGAGATTATGCTAAGTGAAGTAAGTCAAGCAGAGAAAGTCAATTATCATATGGTTTCACTTATTTGTGGAACATAAGGAATGGCATGGAGGACATTAGGAGAAGGAAGGGAAAAATGAAGGGGGGGAAATCAGAGGGGGGGACGAACCATAAGAGACTATGGCCTCTGAGAAACAAACTGAGGGTTTTAGAGGGGAGGGCGTGGGGGGATGGGTTAGCCCAGTGATGGGTGTTAAGGAGGGCACGTATTGCATGGAGCACTGGGTGTTATATGCAAACAATGAATCATGGATCATTACATCAAAAACTAATGATGTATTGTATGGTGACTAACATAACATAATAAAATAAAATTAAAAAAATGGAATGGCTGAAATAGTAAATTTTATGTTATACATATTTACCACAATAAAAAACTCAAAAGAATTCATTCCAATGTACCAAAGCATTAAACACAAGAATCAAAGTGATTAAATATTTTGGAAGATAAAATAAGAAAATGTTTTTATTACCTCAGAGAAGTTGAGCATTTTTTTTTAAAGATTTATTTATTTTTAGAGAAAGAGTGTGTGAGTATGCATGCAAGTGGGGAAGGGGCGGAGAGGAAGAATCTCAAGCAGACTCCCCACTGAGCCCAGAGACCCACACAGGGCTCAATGTCATGACCCCAAGATCCTGACCTAAACAGAAATCAAGATTTGGATGCTTAACTAACTGAGCCACCCAGGTGCCACAAAGTCAAGCATTTCTTTCTTTTTTTTTCCCTGAAGTCAAGAGTTTCTTAAGAGAATAAGCACAATCCAAAAGATAAAGAGTGAGAAATTCAAGCACTTTAAAAATGAGCCACTAAAACACATGACTCATTCAATGAAAATTCAGAATTGTTCTTTCAATATAACAAGAATAAAAACAGGGCAAATAAACTTCCAGTGAAATATTTCCAGATGGGATCTTGCTCACCCTACCAATAGCAACATGATTTTATTAGCACAGACACAGCTGTTAATATATTCCAGCACACTAAAAAATCAGTCCTTTCTTCCCTCCCCTGGTAACCACATTCTACTTTTCTATCTTTATGAATTTGCCTATTCTAGGTACCTTAAACTAAAATTATACAATATTTGTCCTTTCTCATCTGCTCATTTTACTTAAGTTTTTAGGGTTCATCCATGTGGTAGTACCTGTCAGAATTTCATTCCTTCTTATGGCTGAAATATATATATACACACATATATATAATTTCACACCTACAAGTATTATCAGGCTTCCTGATATCATTGTTTACATAGAGATGCCAAAGGAGGGCATGTCCACATCTAGGAGGTATGTGAAATAGAAGATGTGAGCAGAAACAGGTGGAGAAATGAGTGGTGAACACCTGGACTCATCAGGGTATCAACCATCTTGAATTCATCAATTCTGTTGCTTTAGTCTTAAAAGAATTTGCACTGCCCTGGGATCAGAATGATGATACAATTGTTGGCTAATAAAGAGCTTTGGATATTGATCCTCCAGAGGTACAGAGACTACAAATTGTGACAACCTTGCTCAACAGCCCTGCCCCAGTAAAGAAACAGCATATCTGAATCATGGAACACTACATCTAAAACTAATGTTGTAATGTATGGGGATTAACATAACAATAAAAAAATTAAAAAAAAAAAAAGAAACAGCATATCTGTGCCTTGCCCTGATGATGATCTCTCTTGCCCAGGAGCCTGATGCTTCACTCCATCCCTTTCCTCTTCCTACGGATGGAGCACCGGTCTCCATCATCCAACATCTAGCAGAGATGTCCAATATCATTCCACAGTGATGTAACTTAGGTAACCTGATGTACCTTAGTTAATGTTTGGAAATGAGGGCATATATTTTACTATGAGTTTATCCAGCAGAAACTGTGAAGAGTATATGCATAAAATGATTAGAATCAAGACATCATTTGCCTCCTGCTTTCTATTTTCTTGACTTGTTCCCTTGTACCTTTCCTCCAATCCCCAAATAGTTATTATTCTGCCAGTTTCCTATTTTCTCTCTGTAAGGAAAAAGACTATTTTCCTTCTCAGCAGGAACATGCTCATTTGCAAATACAGTGATTGTTATAACATTTGCTTAAAAATCCTTCTACTGATTTCTGAGAGTTGGCTTGGGCAGTTTTCCCTGTATCTTCCAATTCTGGGTTTTTAACATACTGTTGTATTACCTCTGTTGCCAAGCTGTGAGATCTCTGCAGAACAGGGTGGAGATCCAGATAGACTCATCAGTCTCACTACCCATTTCTTCTAATGAAGTCACCAAATTAAAGAATAGTCTAATTTAAAAAATGAGGATTCCTCAACCCTTTCCAGAATTAACAAATCTTGACTCACTGATTTATTAACTTTAAATCTTTTTTCAAAATAACAAAATAATATACAAAGAGAAGACATCTCTCCATTTGACTTTTTCCTTTCCCAACAAGGTGCTTGCGCTTGGTGATACTCCTGCTGCTCGCCTAGGAGCTAACATTTCATTGTGTTGTTACCACATCATTTCCATAAGATTCATCAACAATATGGAACCCAGAAATGAAACAGACATTTTAGAATTTCTTCTCATGGAAGTGACAGAGAATCCAGAACTGCAGTCCCTCGTCTTCAGCCTGTTCCTATCCATGTACCTGGTCACTGTCCTGGGAAACTTGCTCATCATCCTGGCTGTCAGCTCGGACTCCCACCTCCACACCCCCATGTACTTCTTCCTCTCCAACCTGTCCTTTACTGACATCTGTTTAAGTACAACCACAATCCCAAAGATGATGGTGAACATCCAAGCACAGAATCAGAGCATCACTTACACAGGCTGCCTCATGCAGGTCTGCTTGTCCTGGTTTTTGTAAGTTTGGATAGTTGTATTCTTTCAGTAATGGCCTATGACCGCTATGTGGCCATTTGTCATCCACTGAGGTACACAGTCATCATGAACTCCCACCTCTGTGGCATGCTGGTTCTACTCTCCTTGTGCATTAACATTGTGGATGCCCTGATGCACAGTCTGATGGTATTGCA